CAGCAGCCTTAAGGTACATCCAGCGTTTCAGTCTCTGCAAATCCTTCGTTACCTTCGCTGCAGGAGTTCCACTTCCCAATTAAAAGCTTGTGGCAACCTACCAAGGAAAGAGGCTGTGCCAGCTTAACAGACTGTGTCCATATACAACAGCTGCAGGTTCATAGAAAACAAATCCTTGAGCAGTCTCCTCTTTCCTTGTCATGACCGGTGATCCTGTGCCATTCCCTTCATGTCTGCAGGGACTTCCCAGACCCTGCCCTTGCTTTCTAGGCAAGGAATTAGCCACAACTCCACTAGCAGTTCATGGTTCCAGGTTGATGTCACTAATTACTCTATTGCTGCTTCCTTACTTGATATCAGCCTATTACAAAATCAGTGGTCAGTGTGCTAAAGACTATTTAGTCGAGGCTGTAATACTCCATTGTCTTTCATCAGATAACAGCAAAGCAACTGAAAAATATATTCCTGTGAACTACATCTTCCTCTTTAGTACTGACAAGCTGCAGAGGCCAATCTGTCACATCTCTGCTTTGCCCATGGTTGCTCTGGGCTGTGTTGGAGGATGCCAGGTTTGGTTGGGACTGCTCATCAGCCCTGCCTTCTCCATGAGAGGTCAGTTGGTGCTAATGCAGCTTCACCCTGCTTGCTGCTTTTACAGCCCAGGCAATACTGTGTCTTCCCACCAGATTTGGTGTCTTGAAGGAGGTTCTCAGTTTTAACAAAGGACTCATCAGGAGGAAGGAAGGAGAACAAACTGGTATTAGGTTGTGGTTCGTAGGGACTGCTTACTGAATTTTTACCCACTGACTTCCAGGCATCTATCTAGATAAGCTTTTTTTTTTTTTCCCAGGTTTTTGTTTCCAAAGCCCTATGTAACTGGGGAGGCAAGGTTAAACAGACATGAAGGTTAAAAGTGTTTGGGTTCCTGTGCATACCTGAACCCCAGTTTCACAGCGCTTGGCAAGAGTTGCAGGAGGAATGTGGGTATGAGGTGGGTGCCTCTGCTTTGACAGGCTGCATATTGCTAGTGTTGGTACTGAGAAGCATGAAGGACTCTCCTCCCCTGGTGTAGTTCTTTGAAAGAGACCACACGATGAAGGGTTCCTCATCTATAAATCAGTCCATGTCCCATTCCCGGTGTGTGGCGTTGAGGTGAATTTAACAGAAGAAAGAAATCGCTGGAGAAGAAGGTTCCGTTCCTCCTGGGCTGCTGCTTTGAATGACAGAGGAGTCGTTCATGGACTGAATTTCGGGTGGATCTTGGCTCAGAGCAGCAGGCTGCTGGTGTGGTGCAGAGCACTCCCGCTGCAGTCACCGGGCTCTGCTGGCTCCCTTGGGGAGTTTCTGTCGTGGAGTAAGTGGCCTGAGACCAGGTTTGATGTATTTCATCCTGTCTGTGGCGATGAAAGGTGAAAGTTGGAGCGAAGGCTGAGCTGGCCATTGCTGTGTGGCAGGTGAGGACTGCTTGTGCTGTGGCTGCTGTGCTTAACTCTCACTTTCAGTGGGGAGAGAGGAAATAATCTGTCTTCCTATCACATTTTCTTTAATAAGGAAGTGTTTCATCATTTAAAATGGGCAGTGTATGAGGTAAACAGTTCATTCAGAGCTACCTTTAAGTCTCTTGGGGAGTATGATGTTCGAGTGTGTTTAAAATGTTCGGTCGAATAATCCTCTTACAGGAAAAATGGGGAGGAGACTTGAGAAGAATGGTACAAATCAGCCGGCACAGGATGAACACTGCCTGCAGGGCTCCGTACAGCTCAGCTCCTCCACAGGTGCCTGGGCAGGCCAGTACTGAATCTTTGCCTAAATGCAAGCAAAACTAAAGGATTTTGCTTTAGCTATGTCAATGTGTACTTATGGATGAATGTGCTGCCTAGGAATGCTTACGCTGCTGAATCAAGTACAGTAACTTGTATTGAATAGACTTCCATTAACATACCAAAGCTAAAATTGCTTTGAAAGATTTGATTAAATTGAATTTCCAGTCTTCTCTTCAGGCTTTTTTATCTCTCTACTTAAACATCCTGGCTACAATAACTGGGGCCATGTTGGTTTTTTTTTTTTTTCCCTTTGTCTTCCTTTTTTTTTTTCTCTGCGTAAGCTCAGGAGACTGGGAAACTTCTTGATTCATCCTTCAGCCACATGAGTTCATAGCCATAGTTCATGTTGTGGCCTCAGCGCCTCTAGGTGCTGGGAGCTGTCGGACTGGGGATGGGATCAGCCATGCTTCATGTCATCATCTCGGTAGTGAGTAATGGGGGAGGATGGGCAACCAGAGTGGCTGAGTAAAGGCAAATAGAAAGATCGTGCTGCTGGAGTGCTCTGATGGGCAGCTGACCTTGTGCTCTGACATGACTGTCTGTTGTGGGGTTTTCCAGCACTCCTTGCTGACCAAACCCAGCAGGTATTACTGACTCATGCAGAAATGTTGGGTTTCATATGTGGTGACTATCTTCAGTTCCTTCTAAGTTTCAGATAGAGTTTGAGAGTTGGTGTTAATGGTCAGTGTTCCATTGGAGCCATCTTTGCACTGTTTAAAAGTCTTGTTCTGTTGCTGCAGGGAGCTGAGTCAGTATTCAGTATCTGCTTTCTAGGTATGTGGCTCACACCCTGAAAGAAAAGGGTGCCCATCTTGGTCTGTGCCCTTCTGCAGCCTGAGGAAGAAAGTCAGTAAGGCTTTCCTTCTCACGGGAGTGGTTTGGAAATGCAGCTCTGGCAAAGCAATCTCTGTGAGTTAGCAGCTGAATTGGGGAATGGAGCTGATGGTGCAGACTTCTGACTCAATTTGAGTTTCTAAAACATCAGGAAAATCTCATCTAAAATGTAAACTGTAAGAATTGGTAAGGCACTTTGGAATCTAGAAGTAAGTAGGCTCTGAAGTGTGGTGTATATATATAGCCACATTGATATTTATTATGTGTATGTCTTGTGCTAAGTATTCTTTAAATGCTGCCTCTAATCTTTTAGGAAGTAAGAGCATGTACTTGGGTGGAATGGAGTAGATTAAAGTTATCTGTGTAAATTGGAGAATAATTGAAGCACACCAGGAGGCTGACTTCGGCTTTTGGTGTTCCAGTAAAGAGGGCTTGATTGGAGTGAAAACCTCAGCAGCACCATTTTAGGGACCCTTGTGGGTTTAAGACTTGAACCCAACACATTTTCTAAGTAACTGTGAAAGGGTGGGAAACAGATTTACCTACAGGGAGAAATGCAAACAAAGAGATGGAGGTAGTAAAGGCAGAATGCCAGAGCAAGGTGCTGTTGTCTGTTACGAGCTTGGAAATGACACGGCTTCAAATGATGTGTATTTTGCAGCTTCCAGAAGGCATCTCATGCCTGTGTTTTCCTTTATTTTATCTATTGGGGTGCTGGTGCCTTTCCAGTGGGCCGTAGTGGGAGGTTGAGGTTTATGGGTTTGTTTTCTCCTGCAAGTACTTGTGCCTCTTGCTGGACTACGTGTTCAGCTCTCGGGTCTGCATCCCTCCATTGTGCAGATCTGCCTGTGCCTCACTCCTTCCCTTGCAGGAGCACTCCCCTGCTCCTCCCTGCACTTTCTGGTGGAGGTAGGGCCTCCCTACAAGCTGTTGAAGATAATGAACTTCCTCTCCAGCTGTGTCCTGGAAACAAAGGGCTGTTGTGTTCAGCCTTTGTCCTTGCTGTGTGGAGGGGCCCTGTGAGAAGCAGGTCTTCCTTCCCTCTGTTCCAGCCAGCATCTGCATATTTGCTGTTTTTTTATTAGTAGATAGTCCTGAATAAAGTGCATGTTTGAGTGGCTTTTTAACTATAAAATTGTTATCACTAGTGGTACCTTGGGTGCAAAAAAACACTGTTTCGAGAGACTGTTTCATGTACCCAGACAGTTATGAGATACTTAAAGTAAATGAATAAAATGGGAACGAATTTCACTCTGCAAGTGAAATGATGCTTAAAACACTTGATCTGCAAACGTTGCTTGTAGTTGTTTCAAGATGAGGTTTGCTATAAAATGACATTTAGCATGACATGCTTTTGAATTTGTTTTAATACAGGCTAAATTCAGTTAAGACTGAATGCCATAGACTGTATTGCATGTCGTGGGCCTGCTTATGTCTCTCAGTTTCGCACTGCAGGTTTTTCTGGTCCTGTGATGGGTAAGAGGTGCTTCTGTAGGCACCATGCCAAAACGCCTTAAGCATCTTGAGAAAGGGAGCCTGCTGCCACTGTGTTCTAGCAAACTTTATAATTCAGTCCCCAGAAATCAAAGACAAATGTTCCATTAACTTCTTGTTTCTCTTTTGGATTGTATTTACCCAGTTAATGAGAGAAATTCCATGTAGGCACATAATACTGCACAGTAAGCTTTATTTGCATGCAACCTGCTTGAGCTCCTACTTGACAGCTCAGGGAGTGGCTCCTTCACCCCACAGGGAAGAGTAATGTTTAAATAACACTTATTGGTAACAGGAAGCAGATGAAGAGTTCTCAGTAGATCAATTTTATCTATATCCTCTGCAGGTTGTATCACAGACTCTTCTCTCCCTTGTAAAGGTTTAATTTGCATTTAGGTCACACTTGTCGGTGAAAGGCTGGTGTATATCAGACATACGTGCATCTGTGTGAGAGCCTTTACTGCTTTTGCAGGATGTCCGAAATAGCTGAAGGATACCCAATCAATGGAGATAACCCACCATTATGGGGTAATCATGAATGTGGCTGTCAGGGAAAAGCCGTCCATGTTTATTTACCATTTAATAGCTGTTGAGGAGGTGATGGGCTAAAACAGCCCAAGAAACATTGCTAAAATAGTCTGCGGCTGTAAGTACCAGAGTTCTGCTTGGAAATAATGGATGGAAGTTGTTACTGCTTTCTCTGCTGTGGATTGCAGAGATAAAAACAGCTGCTTTTGGTTTCACCCTATGGTTTCTTTGGAACTCCCAAACGGCTTAAAATAGCGGACTTTCTTGTGGCTTTCTAAACTTAGCTGTCTTGCTAAAATTGCATGTGTTCCCTTTAAACAGGTTGCAAAATAAAAGCACTAAGGGCCAAGACAAATACTTACATTAAGACCCCTGTTCGTGGAGAAGAACCCATCTTTGTTGTCACTGGACGAAAAGAGGACGTAGCCATGGCCAAAAGGGAAATTCTCTCAGCTGCTGAACACTTCTCCATGATCAGAGCATCACGCAACAAGAACGGTCCTGTCCTGGCAGGTTTGCCATGTACCCCCAGCCTGCCAGGTCAGACAACTGTCCAAGTCAGGGTGCCTTACCGCGTAGTTGGGCTGGTGGTTGGTCCAAAAGGAGCTACAATCAAAAGAATTCAGCAGCAGACCCATACCTACATAGTCACTCCCAGCAGAGACAAGGAGCCTGTCTTTGAAGTCACGGGGATGCCTGAAAACGTGGACCGTGCACGTGAGGAGATAGAGATGCACATAGCGATGCGCACCGGGAACTACATCGAGCTGAGCGAGGAGAACGACTTCCACTACAATGGTACGGATGTGAGCTTCGAAGGAGGCACCCTCAGCTCAGCGTGGATCCCCTCTAACCCTGCCCCTCATAGCCGCACCAGAATGATCTCTAATTACAGAAATGACAGCTCCAGCTCCTTGGGAAGTGGCTCCACAGATTCCTATTTTGGAAGCAATAGATTGGCTGACTTCAGCCCAACAAGTCCCTTCAGCACAGGTAACTTCTGGTTTGGAGAAGCACTGCCTTCAGTTGGCACGGAAGATCTTGCGGCCGACTCTGCCGCGTATGACTCCTTACCAACGCCTTGCCAAACCATCTGGACTCCTTTTGAACCGGTAAACCCTCTCTCTGGCTTTGGTACTGATGCTGCAAGCAATGCCAAGCCTCGGCGCCAAGCCAGCCAGCCATCTACTCCTCACTTGTCACCCACATTTCCAGAAAGTCTGGATCACTCGCTGGTGAGGAGAGCGACGAGCGACCCACCTACCGTCATCCACCAAGCTGGCCTTCCCGTATACATACCTGCTTTCTCCAATGGTACCAACAGCTATTCCTCTTCCAATGGTGGCTCCGCGTCCAGCTCTCCCCCAGAGTCGAGACAGAAGCACGACTGCGTGATCTGCTTTGAGAGCGAAGTCATTGCGGCCCTGGTCCCCTGTGGCCACAATCTCTTCTGCATGGAGTGTGCCAACAAAATCTGTGAGAAGGAAATGCCATCGTGTCCTGTTTGCCAGACAGCTGTTACTCAGGCAATCCAAATTCACTCGTAAACACATATGGATATTATATATGGACTGTTAAAGGCATGGGTGTAATGGCACCCGCTGATAAACTTCGTAATGAATTCTGAATATTGAGTTTTCTTGGGATTAGGCTGAAGTTGTTAATGAATTTCTGCTTTCTCAAAAGGCTGCTACGGTAACACTAAACACAGGTGGTCTCTGTCTGATTCACTGTAAGCAGATGGCACATAGAGGGTAGAGCGAGTTGTTGTGGTGATATGGCACAGCAAGGGGAAGTGTTCACCGGGTGTACAACTGAAAAGACACGTATGAGCTTTCTAAAGGATCATTGTTAAACATTTGACTTGTGTGTGCTGGCAGCAGTGAACCTCATCGCCTGAACTCAGAAGTGCTCGTCTGCCGTGGAGAGTTTGTGGCATTATCAATATATCAACACTTCCAATGCTGCCTTCTTTACACTGCCAGTTGTGAAAAACAGGTTTGGGGAAATACACACATCTTACTCTTTGCTTCGTGCATAACTTAGGCCTGATTCTTCAGCATTGCAGTTAAAGCATGGTTTGGTTTGGGTGATGTAGTGGCAGGTTCAGATAATGAATTGCAGTGAAGGAGTTGAGAGAAGCTGCTCGACACACCTCCATTTTGCCTGACGTTGAGGGCAGTATGTTCAGAGGATCAGGAGCATCTAGATTTATGAATTCCTACCGACTGCTTTTCTTAATGCAATGTAGAAAAGTCCGGCTGGCTCCATCCCTTTTCAGAGAGGGATTCCCATAGTTCAACTTCTAGTGGGGATGCTGACATTCCGTTCATTAGTCCAATCAAGCTGTCCTTAAATTACATTTGTAGCGAGTGTATAGTTGAAAATGTGAAGCATTTTTCTGTGTTCAATCCACACTTGTCTTGCACATACTAAAAATATATTATTTATATAAGGTAAAGGAGAAACGGGGAGTTGCGCACGTGCCTGTGTATTGCTCATGACAGCAGCTGTAACAGTGGCCCTGCAATCAGTTTACTTCATTTCAAAACTCTCTTTCCCATCATTTAAGAAATAACCTTAAAAAAAAAACCAAAACCCTAAAAAAAGAAAACAAAACCCTAAAAAAAAGAAAACAGAACTCTAATAAAGAGTTTTCAATGCGCTTCTTACATTTCAACCTGTGGATGTTTGTTGCTGCTTCATCCTCAGTAGGTTCCCAAATCTGTGCTGGCATATTTAAAACAATAAACACAATTTTACAAAACAAAACCAAAAATAAGCAAACAAATAAAAGACACAAAGTGGAGTTCTGGTGGATTTTTTTCTAACTTTTTTTTTCCCGAAGCATTATTTTCCCACGAAAAAGCTTTTTTCTCAGCTTAAGAAAATGAAATTATATGTGTACTGAACTAATAAATATACAGAAAAATTTATTTTTTATTTCCACTTGAAGAGTTACATTTCGTATGAAGAGTTTACAGATAATGGTTTTTATTTCATGATTTTCAGTATAAGAGTTGCCTTGATGGCACGTTATGTACTGCATAACTTCAATGCTATGATTGCTTATAGGATAGTTACATGTCAGTATTGAATCCTAATCTTTAGCTGCAGTCTTGTAGATGCAAACAAGCGTTCACGGGGCATGTATTTTGTATTATACCGCATTGTACACCGCAACTAATAAGCCAAGGAGTCAACAGATGTTAGCTGGGTGTACTATTTCTATAAACCACAAACTTAAGAATGAAAAACTATCAATATAGTTTAGTATTTGCTAATTTTACTACACTTTTTGTTATGTATATGTAGGGAGGTCATAGGGGTTATTCAATTTGAGTAAAGTTTAAAAACCATATATTTTATGATAAAGGGCCTTTAACTTATGATGGCCAAAGCACTGATATTATATATTTGCTGTAAAGAGAATTATAAGAGTTTTATTTTTCTGATATTAAAAGTTACTTAATAAAGACTCGTTTCCATTAACTTGAATGTTTTGCTCCCTATGGTTGTCACCTGGAGCAGCCCATGGAGGCTGGGAATGGGGATAGGGATGGGTGATGTCCCTCACCCAAACACCATGGGGGTTTCCCAGTGGTTAATACACTGCAGACCTGGCTTTGTGGCTGAGTGACTTCACGTGCCAGTGGTCCTGCTGCCTGTTAACTTCTGCCTTTACAAAGCAACTGGTGTCTTCCAGAAGGTGCAGCTGCTGCTGGGTGCCATGGTGAGGACCCTGCATTTGAAGTTAGTGCAAGGTAAACTCCTTGTGCTCGTGTGTGCGAGCATCGACCAGCAGCAGAAATCACAGAATCTGAGCCTGGTTTGGGTTGAAGCGACCTTAAAGCTCATCCAGCTCCAACCCCTGCCATGGTCAGGGACCCCTTCCTCTAGAGCAGCTTGCTCCAAGCCCCTGTGTCCAACCTGGCCTTGAACACTGCCAGGGATGGGGCAGCCACAGCTTCTCTGGGCACCCTGTGCCAGCGCCTCAGCACCCTCACAGGGAAGAGCTTCTGCCTAAGAGCTCATCTCAGTCTCCCCTCGGGCAGGTTCAAGCCATTCCCCTTGGCCTGTCCCTACATCCCTTGTCCCAAGCCCCTCTCCAGCTTTCCTGCAGCCCCTTCAGGCACTGGAGCTGCTCTCAGGTCTCCCCTTGAGGAGCCTTCTCTTGTCCAGGCTGACCCAGCCCAGCTCTCGCAGAGCTGCCCCTTTCCAGCTTGTTTGTACCTGCAGGGCAGGGATCAGGAGCTGCCCATGGGCAGAGAGCTCCTTTCTGGCCTGACACAGGAGATCACTCACCCATAGGTGAGCTCCTTCCCAAACTCCCCATTCCAACCCAAAACCCAGCTTCTCCCCGGAGTCCCGATGCATGGGCAGCCTCATCCCAAGGGAAGCATCACCCTTCTACCTGTCGGCGCTACAGCCGATGTTAAGTGTCCTTACAGGACATGGAGAAGGGACCTCTGGTTCCAAGGATGGAGAGGATCTCTGGACGCAGCTCCCTGCCCCAGTGCAGCAGCCCCGGTGCTCGCACAAGTGAAGGAACAGCACGAAGCACAAAAGGGGGTTTATTTATTTACTGGTTTTAACACACAGCATCCTGTTGCCAGTCCCTGTGCTGTACCTGCTGCCCCAGTGTGAGCCCCGTGGGCAGCAGAGCAGGAGCGCTTGGACCATGGCTGGTTTTCAGGATCCAACAGGAGGTGCTGAGCTCAGGGCCAGCCCGCAGCACTTCCACCCCGAGGGTCACACCACAGCTACTGAGCAACAGCCACAGCACCGACAGCAAACATCCCCGGGGAGTGGAGAGCTTTCACATCCCTATTCCCACCCTTGATCCCAACGAGGAGCCAGAGGTTTCCCAACGCGGGGACCAGGCTATCAGAGCAGGCAGATGCTGCTGCAGCAGAGCAGCGATGGGACCCTGACAGCGATGGTCCTGTGGGGCTTGTGGCTGATGCCAACCCAGCCTCTCAGGAGCCCTCCCGCTGCAGCCCAGCCACGGGAGCAGCGCGGAGCTGCCGAGCATGGAAGGAAAAGTGCATTTAAAGCTTCCTTTGAACTTCCTATAGGAATAACAGCGTTGGCCTCGCTCGGCCGCCCTGGCCCGCCTGCTGGCAGCGGGGCAGCGGCCCGTGCCGGTGCCGGGTGCTTCCCCTTCCGTGGACGAGATTCCTGGTGGGGTGAGTCACCCATCACAAGCGCTCCCGAGCATGGAAAAATACCGTTCATGACAGCAGATGGATGGGAAGCGGCGCGTTCCGAGCCCGTGCCCGTCTCGTGCAAGGCCGAGGTAACCGGGAGTACAACCGGCGCTGTAAATAACGCACATTGGAGGGGCTGGGGCTGAGGATGCTGGTGTTCGTCTGGAAGAGACGAGGGTTTAGCTCCTCGCTGTCAGGGGTTTTATGTCTGAGGCCTCTTCCTGCAACAGTAAAACTTCTCCAAGTGAAGTGAATTTAAATACGCTTTGATCTCTTCCCAAGGCATCATTGAAAGACTTTGTTCTCATTAAAAGGGAGTAATCTCCTTTCTGTCCCCTTGAAGAGAATGAACAGATTTGGGGCCATGAGCGCCAGGGAAGTGGCTTTGAGGACCACAAGCTCCATCACTCCCATGTACTCCAGGACTGTGTTTACAGCCGATGCTGAGCCAGGGAGATGCATCCTCCCAAAGCAAAGCAGCCTCAGGTATCTAAGATCTTTGGCCAGGCAGTAACACATGTCAGCGCATCTCTGTGCGCTGCCAGCGGGAGCGGCTGTTATCATTTCCCCTACAGAACAACCATAAATTGGTTCCAGACAAAACCTCCCCATCCTGGAGGGAGCTGCTCCCTCCCGCAGGTGCCCCTTGCTAAGAAATGGGGAAGGAAGGATGCTTCAACAGGAAGCAAGAACAGATCTGTCCTGACACTGCTGGAGTATCTGAGCACACTGCATCGTGAGCCAGCACGAGAACCAGACAGAGCGAAGCAGGCTCCTTCCAACAACAGAACTAGGGTCAGAAGAGGGGAGGACAGGCAGGAGAAGGCAGCTCATGGCACAAAGGGGACACGATGACTTCCAAAGGCACCATTAGAGCACTCTGTGTGAAGCACAGGGTGCAAACCTCCCTCGGACTGGGGGGAAACAGTGTTGGGAGGGGAGGTATCAACTGGAGGTTACAGAACACTCCCATCCCAAAGGGTGCTCAGGCATTGGAACAGGCTGCCCAGGGCAGGGCTGCAGTCACCGTCCCTGCAAGTGTTCACTCACCGTGGAGACGAGGCCTCAGTGCCATGGGTTAGAGGTGGCCTTGGCAGTGCTGGGAACGGTTGGACTGGATGAGCTTCAAGGGCTTTTCCAACTTAATTGTATGGTTATATGAACCGGGAGATGACACAACCTGGCATCAGGAGGTCACTCAGCAGCACTGCACTGGAGCAAGGCCATGGAGACGCTGCCAGGGCTGGGCTCAGCCGTGGCCACCCAAACCAGCGCCCCACACTTCTATGAAGAGCTTCCCCCCAACACCTGCATCCGACAGAACCACCCCAGCGCCGGGCGCTGCCCCGGGACATCCCCATCCCTGGTACCTCCCATGGCTGAGACGCAGCGACCAAAGGGGACGGAACCCTCAGGGATGCTCCTGAAGCCGCCAGGTCCCCGGGCCCCCGTAACCCCCGGGGCCGGGGCTCCAGCCCCGTTCCCCGCTCAGAGCCGAGGCTCCGCAGCATGGAGCACTACGGACACCTAGCGGCACCGACCCGGGAGGCACCGCGCAGCGGCCCGGACCCCGCCGTGGGGCACGGCAGCGGCCATGGGGCTGCACCGGCCAGGCCTTGGTCACGCCTGTGTCCCATGGGAATGCCGATGGCAGCGCGGTGGGCAGGGGTCTGGCATGGGAGGGGCATCCCCCAACCCCTCGGGCAGCAGAGACCTCTTGACCCGGAGACAAGGCACAACCGTGAAAGTGGAAAGGTGCTGCTGGACACCAATGCAGACACAGCACGGACCAGCTCAGGATGGCTTCAGTGGTGCTGGTGCCAGGAGACCCAGCAACCACAGCAGCCACGAGCCCCATGTCCCATAAATTACAGAATCCCAGACTGGTTTGGGTTGGAGGGCCCTTAAAGCTCATCCAGCTCCAACCCCTGCCACGGGCAGGGACACCTTCCACTGGAGCAGCTTGCTCCAAGCCCCTGTGTCCAACCTGCCCTTGAACACTGCCAGGGATGGGGCAGCCACAGCTTCTCTGGGCACCCTGTGCCAGCGCCTCAGCACCCTCACAGCAAAGAGCTTCTGCCTAAGAGCTCATCTCAGTCTCCCCTCGGGCAGGTTAAAGCCATTCCCCTTGGCCTGTCCCTACATCCCTTGTCCCAAGCCCCTCTCCAGCTTTCCTGCAGCCCCTTCAGGCACTGGAGCTGCTCTCAGGTCTCCCCTTCAGGAGCCTTCTCCAGGCTGCCCCAGCCCAGCTCTCTCAGCCTGGCTCCAGAGCAGAGCTGCTCCAGCCCTCGCAGCATCTCCACGGCCTCCTCTGGCCTCGCTCCAACAGCTCCACGTCCCTCTTGTGCTGCTGCCCCAGAGCTGGATCAGGACTGCAGGGGGGGTCTCCCCATAGCGCAGCAGAGGGGCAGGATCCCCTCCCTGAGCTGCTGCTCACGCTCTGGGGGTGCAGCCGAGCACACGGGGGGGTTCTGGGCCCAAGCGCTCACTGAAGCCGGGTCATGGGGAGCTTCTCCTCACCCAGCACTCCAAGTCCTTCTCCTCAGGCTGCTCCATCCAGTCTCCCCCAGCCTGTGCCTGTGCTGGGGACTGCATTATGGATGGAACTGAACTCCCATGCACAGGACAGCAATCTCATACCAACACATGCAACTGCAGAGCCCTGGCTCTTGCTCCAAGCCAAAAACACACAGAGCTTGGCTGCTGGCTTAAAGTAAGTAATTTCCATTAATAACACCACCAACAGACCTGTTGTGCTCCACCAGGTTAAACCAGACAGGTACCTGCGTGCCTCTGGTCACCCAGGGATCCTACCACACTGGACACACACTTGTCTTTGCGTTCAATGCTGGTTGCACCCAAGTATCCACACAGAGGATGCTGAGGAAAGGATGCTCCGAAACCGCAGCCCTGACCCAGCTCCAGACCGTGGCTATCAGCTCTGACAGCCAGACACAAACAGGGTAAACACTCTCCACTGAAGGCAATAAAGAAGCCGAAGACTTGACTCTTTAACCTTTTTTAATCAAAAACATACTCTGTTACAGAATTTCAGGAAAGTTAACTACAGTATATTATCCACAAACTAGGTCTAATGAAAAACATACAGTAAGCTACAAAGGAACTACTGGGAATTCCGTTGACCGCTTATCAAAAGGCAATGGCTGAAAGCAGAAACGCTTAGCTAGGCTTTCGTGCTAAAAAAAAACCTCTCATGGTGAGTTTTGGGTTCTGGTGCTTTCCAGCTCTCAACCCGGCTCAATCAGAGCTTCGTGGTGGTACCAAACTTCACCAAGACACAGGAAAAGGTACCGGAACAGGAAAGCACTGGGTGATTCTGGTGAGCTCGGAAGGCTCAAGTACTGTAAATTTAGGAGTGATGGTACCAAGGCACAACAGCAGCCAACAGTGCCAGAATCTCTTAGGTTTTCACGGGCAGCAGCTCTGCTTTCCACCAGGTCTCACCAAGCGAGAAGCCAGGGCAGCTCCTGGGGACCTCAGCAGCCCCAAACACACGCTCACACCCCCCTGATCCCTTCAGAAACGCTGTCGAGCAGAGCAGAGCATTCTGGAGGTGGTGATGTGACAGAAGAGTACACACAGCACCCATCTCCCCCATGACTGCTGGAGAAATGCTTTCCATTGGTTTCCCTTTCCTGCCCAGGAACAAGGAGATGAGTAAACTGCAACAGGGGAAGGAGCGACCAGCTTAGTGCTCATGAGTAACATGCACACCTAAGATCGGGAACTTGCAAATCTCAGTCCCAACCACAGCACTGTGCCCCCCAAAAACCTGCTGCGAGTCATGGAAATGCTCCTGGCATATGCAGGGCCAGGCAAGTCTATCGCTTTTAATGTTTATGTCTTTTAAAACAACAAAAAAGAAAGTCACCTCCCAAAAACTGTGTCCTTCTCAATACCTGACAACGAAACATCTCGCAACTTTAGAGCAGATGCGAAGTAGCTTGAGGCCTGACGGGAGGAGGGTGGGGAGGAAAGAGGATTTCTTAGACCAAGCCTGAATCCCACTTAGAGGCAGACCCATCTGGCTCTCTTTTAACTGGCTGCATTAGAGAAGTGACCAGCGAGCCCAGTCACCCTGCGCAGCAGAGTACAGACGCAGGTCAAGGAGACAGTCCTTTCTAAAGCGCTTACTCTTCCAAGAAGAGATTAGAGAGGTGTCAATAAAGACCACCACCAAGACGTAAACAACATTTGAAGGGTTCAGGGGCAGGAGCTCCCCTATACACACTGGCATTGGAATTGTTTTCAATGGTTCCTAGTAAAAGAACTGAGGCAGTCATTCCTGAGCTACGCAGAGAGGATGCTGTCGTCGTTGGAAGTGTCACAAGAAGATGGTCTCAAAGGTAAGGCACAGGAGTTGGACACAGGTTCAATGACTACTGCTGCTACAGACCTGTTCTGTGGCTGGGAGAGACTGTCTTGTCTCCTCTGTACTTGAGGTCTCCATCTATAAAGCAGCCAGAGCTCTTCCCCGGTCTCCTGTAGGCATAAGCTGTTAATGAAGTGATTTGTATCACAGAGGGGAGTCCAGTTAGTGTTCCTGTTAGAACTGAGTAACTTAAAACCATTCCAGCATAAAAGGCTTCCTCTCCTACACCTCTACTCTGTGTTAACTTCAAACGCCCTCGCTTTCAATAACACACAATAACACCGCTTACAATAACACGGCTAAAGCCGGCTAAAGCTTCCGGTGCTAATCGCAGCTCTTCAGTGAAATTACACAGTGCCCCACGCACAATGCTGGGCTTGAGGAGCACGTAAGTGAGGGTGAGAAGCACAGGGGTGATTACTTCACCGAGAGAAGTCAGCAGAGCAGGCACAGGCACAGGATCACAAGCAGGAGACTGCTGGTTGAAAAATGTACTTGTTGAGCTCACTGAACCTGAGACATTCAGAGCTGAAGAGATGCGACTCCGACATCCCTGCCTACGGCACGTATGGGGACCGTCACGGCTGTCAAGGAGCTGTAGCTCTTCCTTGAATCTGAGAAAGAGATGTAAACGCAGGACTGTCAGAGATTCAATGTGTTGCTGCTGAAGGGTTTCCAATTCGCTATGTGCTGCCTTCTATGCCTCGTGGTAAGAAATAAAAGCACAGAAATTACATTAAAGGTGTATTAAAAACTATGTCTCTCATTTTGCCCTTCAACAGTTACAGCTGCACCTTATCAGTAATGGCCTGCTGGAGAAGATGAATGCCATTTCAGTATCTTTACTGACTTACTTACACGATGTTCAGGTTTCTCATGTGGAGCCTGATTTCTTGGTTCCAATAAACTCATATGACATTATTTTGTTGCTCTATCCTGAACATTCCTGGCCATCTAAATACAACACCAGGGGTACCATTCACTGCAGGTAGAGGCTTAAGGAGATTTGAAAAACATCTGCAAAAAGAGAAGTACTCTTTAACAGCTGAATTCTTTCCGACTGTAATAGAGGCAAGAAAATCAACAACCTTTCCCAGTTTTATCAAAATTTGGCACAATCAAAATGAGAGCAACTGGTACAAAAGGTTTTCTGTGAAGTAGCCATACACAGATCAGTCATCCACCAAGATGAGCACCTTGGAAAACCACTAAGTTAAACAGAGCATAAGCACATGGCCTCCTAACCAAACAAACGGTCTATTACAAGAAATTGATCAGACAGAAGGCACTTCCCAAAACCTGAGGAATCTCGAACCCCACTGTAAGAGCAGGACTGGCAATTCAAAGGGGAGGCTGGCAAGAAGAATGTGTGGTCAGATTTTCATTTCTTCCCCCAGATCAAGTTTTCAGTTGTGGATGAAGTGTTACTGAGCTGCAGGTTAATAAGCTTCTCTGAGGATGTAGTCAGAAGCCTCTAATCACAGTGCTCTTCAAGAAGCTTGCTTTTCAGACAAACTGCATCATTAAGAAAGAGAAATGAAAAAGGTTTTAAACCGAAAGCCTTGAGAAAAGCAAACACTGTTTTTCCAAACACCAAGAAGTTGCTGCAAAGAGGTGAAAAAACCCACCCAACAATGATCTCATTAGAGGCAAGTCTGAAGAAGGCAACACTGTTAATGAAAATACAGAGAAAACTCATCCATTTCTGGCTGTTGCTAAGACAGAAACAGTGACTGCTGACTGCCTTCCTAAGAATGTCAGCACACGGGGAAAGCAGCACCTAAGCACTGTGTGTCACAGCCCTAAGCAGATTCCTGAAACTATGCAAGAAACTTGGCAAAAAGCTTCCGAATAATCTCTTCCAAGTCTTCTACTTATGTTAACCACTACAGCTGTGCTGCCAGGTCGGCTCAGAACAGCATGACAGGCAGACCAAACAGGCATGGCTTGAGAGATTTAAGCTGGAGTCTACGTACTTCTAAGCCTGCTTAACTGAGCTCTCTACACATACATGGGAGAAAATAAGGAATTCCTGCTCTCTCCTCATGCCCCATCAAAGAGCCAAAGCACATACCCTCAGGACACACTTCCATCGAGAAGCAGTGAAAGGAAGAAAAACTGGACTGGCTTCATGGCCAAGAAAAATTCCTACCACTACTGGCTGCTGCTGCTCATCTTGCAAAGGACATTAATTCATCACTCCAGATCAATGATTTCATGGTGCAAAATTACATAACAGAAGCAAATTAAATTTATAAAAATCAGGGTTTTCATAATTTTATTTATACTATTAGCTAGAGAGAAAGCATACATATTGTATCTGTCATACAGTCAATACATTTGCAGGTTTTTTTCTACTGTAAATTCTCTATACAAAGTCATTGCCAATTGATACGGTCATTGATGGCATAGGGCTTAAAATAACCGAGAGGTATAAAAACAAGTTTGCCATCTTGCCCTGAGTGTAAATGGTGAACAGATACAAAAAACCAAATCCTAAATATTGATGTGTTATTATTATACATGATTTAATGGTATATGCAAGTAAAAAGAATCATGCAACTTTTTAAAATACCTGCCAGGTTTTACTTGAGTAAAATCACAGAAGTCAGTAGTAATTATGAAAATATGTTCCTGCCATTAGGTACTCGATATGCAATTTCAGTGGCAACTTCAGTGGGAGACTGGGTATTTCATGTTAGGTCTGAGTGCCAGCACTGAAAGTATCCATTTCCTTTAGTGTTTTAAAACTCATGTGTCAATATAAATAAAAATCTAAAGATATCTTTTTTAAAAACTAGTGAAGGAAAAGCCACGTTTCTTTTCCTTGGTATTTCAGATCAATGCCAACAACGTATGTCTCATCCCTCAATTTTTGGCAGCTTCTATGTTTTAATCTGGAAAAATCATAAGATAGTCAACAAAATAAAGAAGTCTTCTGTTAACCATTGTTCCCTAAAAAGAACACCACAAATCAGTCTGAATTGTAAAGCTGCTATAAGGTAAATGCTTGTAACTACTAGAAGGAATTTTCAGATATAAATATATATATAATATATATTCTGCATACAAAAGGCTCCTGTGAGGCTTATCACCAAGATGCCACAATAGAGAAGGAAAATTTTCGCAGGGAACAAACCCAACACTGTGAAGTCTCTATAAGGCATTTACCTTTCACTTTAAGCCCTGTATTACAACATTTAAGTTCTGAAAATAACTGAAATTCAAATTCCGCATGTTCAGTTTCTTTCTGCTAAGAGCAAGGCGGCAAACGCATTTTTAAAACCTGTTTTAAGAAGATTAAGCAGAACAAAAGTAAAATATATCTTCAGGTTATAAACAGAATTGTATTTTACAATCCACCATCCTCACAATATAATGGCCCACAGCAGTGCAGCACAAGGATCTCAGTCTAAAGGTTGTGGGTCTGCAATAGGCATGGTATGAAGTACTTCATCTAGAAGCTGGAGCGCACGGTGTAAGTGAATTTCAATCCAGCACGGTGTCTCTTTGATGCTCTGCCTTGGGTAATCAGGTCCCCAACCTTTCACAAAACTCATCCTGAGTATGCATAAGCGGCGAAGATCATCTACACCAATTCCAGCAGCAGCTGACAAACCTAAACAGGAGAGGTTTCATCAAGTAAGTGTTCATGGATATGTTCTTCCATTATCTGTTTTAGCCACTCATGTTTGTTTGGGTCTTCCTTCACGTACAGTTCCGTCTCACCACAACCAAAGCCAATCCATATTTCTAGATCTCTGCTATCACAAATCATAGAATCACAGAATGTTTTGGGTTGGAAAGAACCTTAAGATTGCCCAGTCCCAACTGCCTGCCATGGGCAGGGATGCCTCACACTAGACTGTGTCACCCAAGACTCTCTCCAACCCGGCCCTGAACACTGCCAGGGATGGAACATAGCAATCATTTTGCATTTCTTTTAATTAGTTGTTTTTTCATCATTCTTCAACTTTGAAAGGGTGCTGAAATACTGAATCTCTTATGATAAAGCAGACATGATGAAACCCAGTATCTTACACGATACAATGCATGTAAACCTTATTCAGGAAATACAGTCAGAAAACACTTATTCTTGAGGTTTGTCAAATGTTGCATTTTCAACACAGAACTCAGGCTTACCCCCTGCAAGAAGCTGGATTAACAAATGACACTACTTATATCTAATAAAAAGATTAATAGAGCTGGCAAACTTCAAATCACATATACGGCTAAGACAAAAAGTTACATACAATCCCCAAATGCCCTCAGTGACTTGTAGGATAGCCAAAAAGAGCCACATGGAATCCAGAAAATGCTATGGCACACAACAAGAAATTCTTTACTGTGAGGGTGGTGAGGCACTGGAACAAGCTGCCCAGAGAAGTGGTAAATGCTCCATCCCTGGGAGTGTTCAGTGCCAGGTTGGACACAGCCTTGGGTGACAAGGTCTACTGCGAGATGTCCCTGCCCATGGCAGGGGGTTGGAACTAGATGATCTTAAGGTCTTTTCCAACCCTAACTATTCCATGATTCTACGATTCTATAAAGCAGCCTGAGACATGGAAGTACTTAATGCTCTTAAAAAGTACTTAGGTACAAGTTTAAGGATCTAGAATTTAGTAATTAAGAAAACTTTACCCCAGAATAACTTAAAAAGAAAAAAAAACCCCACACAAAAAAAAAACCACCACTAAACACCGTCACACTCTCTTCTTCCTCGTCTCAAGAATCCTAGTATTATGTTTCCCTAAACCTAGACAAGGACTTTGTTGCCCAGTAATTCCATTGTTTTGAACACCATTTTCATGAGATCAGATCTCAAAGACTATTTTTTCAAAAGCTTTAGTCTAAGCAGCCCCAAAGTATCTTTGTTTAAAGTAACAGGGTACACTATTCCACCTTGCATAGAATGTGTTCTCCATTGTACTGCAAAAATTGAAGTGGATCTGCTTATTGTACTCCAAGAAATACAGTAAGTACTTCTTAATAAGCAGTACAATAAGCAGCCACTTCTATATCCAATATTACCTGAAGACTACAGAGTGAAAACTGGTGTGTAGAGAAGGTTAGAAGTGGATGAATACAGAGTGATCACAATGCCACCCAGCCCCATCTTGCCTCAGTCATGCTACCTCACTTGCACTTTCCTTGTGCTGTTCTGGGGGCAGCAGGTGGATGGGTGCTGTTAAAAGGGGGAGCTCTGTTATTTATTTTCAGGTAAGGAATAAAGGAGACCAAGCAGTTAATGTACTTACTAATGGCTGGGGCTATTCCACCTACTGAACCTGGTCCAGGGATGTTTCCTGCTACCGCTGCAGCCTGAGCGGCAGCAGCAGCTTGGGCAGTGGCAGCCTGCTGTTGCATCTGACGATGGCACTGGCGCAAGTCAAACACCTTTAAAAAAAAGAAAATATCAAATTACACAGACTTACAGAAATCAGTGAAGGAAAAAATTCCTCATCTCCCATCCCCAGTAATCTGGAAAACTCTGCTTTCCCAAAGCAAATCCTACAGTCTCACCATACACTTAGGTAAAGCAAATCTTCCCTTACTAGTTTTATTTCTAACAGATTAAAGCTGATTTTTAAACACTCTTCATGTTACCACACTGGCAATTCCAGAACCTGGCTGAGCTGAGCAGGCTGCAGAAGTAGCTTGTGTGGAAGTGACCGCAGGATCAAAGTCTGAAGGATGCTACATGCTGATAAAATACCAACTTTTCAGTTAAATCCCAGTATTTCCACAAAATAGGCATATAAATAAAAATGGAAACCAGCAATTCCTGCTTAACTTTGTCAGACTTCATTCTTCACTGCTTCATGGAAATGTGTTACTGTATTTAAAAGAAACACTGATAATCAATCGGCCTGAGGTTTCAGTAGCTAGATCCTGGGTTGGTAGCATTCTCCATCTTTGTGATCAGGCTTGGCACTAATGTATACAGGAATTCTGTTCTCATACTAGAAACCTTGTATATAGAGGCTGATGGGGTTTCTTTCACCTTCATTACACAACCTGCCTGCAAAACTGAGGATTAAAAATAAATAACTGCAAACTTCAAGTAGTTTCTCTCTAATTCAAGAATTACTTTTTTTACAAGTGTGACTTGTGCTAAATAAAGTTTCATGTCTGACAGAGGCACCTCCAAGTAACAATCTGTTGAAAATAATTTGTTTCCATGCAACTTAAGTGGCCCCTGGATCACTTCAGGTTCATGAAGTGGATCACTTCAACACACACTTTACACTCTGCACTTTCCCAACTCTTCTTGCTTTGGAGGTAAAGAAACAGATAACCTATGGTAAAAAATTTAGTAGCAGTTAATTTAAAATTGTAAGGCTAAAAATATAAAAACCCGCTATTAAGACTGTGATGAAATACAAAATCAGTCATTTCTGTAGTAGCTAGATGATGCTTTCATTTTAGAGTAATTTTAAAAACTCAAGAGAGCTGTCAAATGGAAACTTTAAGGCTTTTTTTAAAGGATAATCAAAAACAAAGTTACATTTATTTCAGTATCTCATTGCTTTCCCAACACATACCAGAACCAAATGCTATTTCCCTCACAATTTTCATCCAGGAACATCAAACTAACCTTTATATATGCACTTGGGTAAATCTTGTGAACAGCATCCCCTGGAGCACGCCCTGCTTCTCTATCCAGGTAGTAACTCTGGACGAAGACCGCGTGGTCACTGAGGCATCTAACCCACACGTCACCTTCCCCTTTGCACTCCAGCTGCACTCCCTTACCTATGTGCAACCTTAAAAAGAAAAACAGGTACAATGCACCCATGTATGCATACTATAAATCACACCTTTACTAAAAAAGCCTAGGTCTCCAGCAGTCATCTGTGGTGCCTTAACTTACACCCCATTCACCCAAGGATTTCAAATTCTAATTATTATCTGAGGTATAAGTTAGTAGATAGTTACACAAAATCAGTACAGTAAAAAATACTGTAATACCATGCAAATGGTCTATATGAAACAGAATGCAGAAACTGTGATATCTGAGTAGCAGCTACTGCACTCGCTGACAGTACAGAGACAGGATACCAAACACATTCAGCTCTGTTCAGAAGTGGAAAATCACCCACAAGTACTCCAGCACAGAAAGTCACTCAAGTACATACACAAAGCCACATTTTAATGCAGAACTGTTTGCTCATTTGGATCACATTACAGCAATCTAGCATCTTACTTGTCACAATGCAAATCTGTGCTTGTCACAATGCACATTTCTGAAGACATGGAATAATTTTCTTCTTTTTTTTGTTTCAAAGAGGGGAAAAAAAAAAAAAAGCTGCAAGATGGCTTCAGTTCTCTGTGATTCCACAAAGCCTAGCACGTGCATGGTGAGAATGAATGAAAATCCAAATAGCTCTCCATCAATGCTTCTTTGCTCCTCTGACAAATCTATATATTGCTACTATTCTCACATCATTCTCTGGTGTGGAGAGCTAATATTCAGCCTGCATACATAATGGCACGGGTTTCTAATTTTATCCCTGACAGCAGAGCCTTTGAGAGCAATGAAAAGCAACGTGCTTCTGCAAAGCACTGAGGGTCTTTGTCACGCAGTTCACATTCTGAATGCCTAACCGCAGTGGCCTAGAAAGATACACTCTGCTGCAGTTAATTCAGTTAAAAGAAACATACCATACTTGTAGTTTGAAAAGGGAGGCACGAACTGAAGGCAGAAACAAAATGTTATCAAATACCACAGACAGCTGGAGCTTTTGAGATGTGCGGATTACCTTGCTCTCTCAATGGCTTCTGTTCTATGCACGTTGGAAAGCTGGCCCAGGCAAAAGCGATCTCCTCCAGAAGGATCCACATATCCATCAACAGTCACAATCGGACAGCTTGAAGGGACCTTAAATGTTTCCCCAACTTGCACGTCCATTTCAAAATAAGCGATTGAACACCAATATTCTGGAGCTAAAGAATATATATGATTAACTGACCAAAATGCACAAAAAAAAAAAACCTAGAAACCCATTCCAGATAATCAATTAAGCCTTCTAAAACTGCATTTGTCATTCAGAGTATGAGTGTATATTCACATAAGCAAGTTCAGATACACAAAGGCATGTCTGCTAGCACAGAAAAATGCTACATACTACAACGAACAGGGGCTTGTCATTTTTGAGCACACACTGATGTGAAGAGGTTTTGTAGTTAAGACCTTACAAGTCTCTGTACAGTTTATAATTCCAGTTAGATTTTGTAAGCCATCTGCATTCCTGCACCTTCTAACTATTGCCTGATTTTGTTCTTTAACGTAAAGAAGTAATACATTGTATGAAACCCAAAACTTTGGGTTTCATACATTGTATGAAACTCAAGTAAGTGAGGAAACCTGACAAAACACCAAGTAACTTTATATACATACACCAGCTGCTTGTGTGCTACCTGGGAGCAATTGGCTTCTCAAGCCTTCCACACAGCTTACTGTGTTTGCTTTCAGGTGTTAAGAGTTTTTCTCTTCAGACATACTAAAACCTAAAGTTGGCATAAGCTGAAGTCGCTGGAGATTTTGGGGACTCAGCCCCTTTGCTGACTACAAGGCCACATTTCCACAAAAGGCTAACACAGCAGTTTGCAGGGGAGGACAAAGAAAATCAGCACTACAATGACCTCAAAACAGGATAAGCAGAAAAGGACCTAAACACAACAGCCTGATAAGCCAGGAGCAAAAAACCATCTCCAGGGCCTTGACAGGTATTCATTCCTTACAAAGAGCTGCACACCTACTCTCCTGAAGAAATTGTTGTTCTGGTTTTATTAGGAAAGAATAAACCAAGGTGCCTGAATTCCTTTAAATTATTTTATCTTCAAATGAATACTCATGTCTCCAAAGGTGAAACCAATAGCTCAATCAGCAGGGTGAAAGAGACATACTAAATAAAATAAAACACAATTTAGCTACAGTTAAGTTCAGCCAGCAGTTATTACAGTTTTATTTCTGGTACTGATTTAGTCACTTTTCAATGAACAAACAATTTAAAATTTCAAGCTCTTCACCTACGCAGCTTTCCTGTGCAGCAACAGCTTTGCTGTTGTTAAAAACAGAGTATCACCTTGTACCTGCAATGGAGCTAGCTTGTACTGCAAGACAAGACCTCCTTGGTTCCATGAACTGCTACATTAATGAAGACTCCTGGAAAGAGCAAGGCTCTACACAGAGGCCCAAAGAGGAACTTGAGCACCAAAATGCAAGGACAATACCTATCTTTCAGTCTATCTGGCTGTGAAGATAGACTTCTAGATCATGGATGAGAGAGGGCTCTGGCATGACCTAAGGTCCATGATGGTCCTAAGCAAGCAGAAAGTACAACTTCAGGCACCCTGCAAAGGTTATGATCAAGGATATTCAGAGCTCAGACACCTCCAATATAGGTTTGAGGACTGCAGTTCTTGACTTAGGCATCTAAACTGAATTCAGTTTGCAGCCTATGTCACCATTCCAAAAGAGACATCTGAATTCAAAAGACCACAAAACAGGGTTTTTTCCTTCCTTCCCTTTTGAATATATATCTCAAATTTTAGAGTATTTGATACCAAAAATACCCAAACAAATACACAAAGAAAAAAATCAACAGACTCAAACCAGAAAGTTACTAGCTTCCACAACATTAGCATTACATGTTAGATTTTACTCACCAGGATGATTTGATATAGGAGGCTGGAATGCAAGTTCATTGTGAACTGGCCCTTTAAGAGAAAACATGCAATTTGTTTTACATGAGAAAAAGCAAGGTTTTCTTTCTTAACTTGTTTTCCTATAAAAAGACACCTGTGAGGATGCCAGATGTTACAAATCCCAGTAGTTTCTGAATCAACTGGCCAAATCTGACCAGGGATAAAATGCTCACAAAAGAATTACTCTCTTAGTGGTTTCCTAAAAATCTGGGAGTAGAGCAAAGAGCTCCATTAGTATCCCAGGAGGAAAGACTCCATGCTGCTCAAGACAGAACCAGCTCCAGGAGAGAGCAGAAACCAGATGTAGCACAGAGATGTAATAGAAATAGGACCCAAGCCCCACATCTGCCTTCAAGTTAGTCAAGGAGAAAACCATTGTATAGAGGCACGTGATATAAATCTGTCAGAAACCATCACAGAACAAATTACCTAGCATGCTGTGGGCTTGACCATGAGAAACACTCCCCGAAGATGGACAGAAACCCAATAGAACTCATTTTCTAAAGACAAAAATACTGAATACAGCCTTGGTCAGTTTACTCTCTCCACTTTCAAAACCTAAAAGTCCCTTTCAGGCAGCGGAGAACAAGAAAAAAAAGACTTAAACATAGTATTATAAGTAACAGTAGCTTTTGCAACAAGATGTCAAAACAGGCACAACGCTGGTAGGTGTCAAAACATGCAACTCTCTCAAGTGAGAAACGGCAGCAGCCAAGAAAAGCTCTATGCGGTATCACTAGCCAGTTACAAATATTAATTATAGAAAGATCATGCACTGAGGAGTATTTATAGAGTATCTACAGCACCACTGAAGTTTTTACATCCTGGTACTTCTGACAAATACAAGATAAATGAAGTGGGATCCTAACAGAACAATTAACTTCACCGTACCTAAACCACAATTTTTGTGATAGACAGAAGGTGAGAAGTCTTTCTGACATTAACTTACCATGTATTCTCCCCTCCACTAACAAATACTGCTGCAAACAGCTGATCCGGTTCAGTACTGTATTAGGAAATAAGGAATTGCTCTACCTTTTTGCCACAAAATTTAGAAAAACTTGTATTTGGGTGGGGATTTTTTGCACTATACTCTGTATATGGCATATACTGTGCTAGACACTTGCCCTAAAAGTTTTATCGCTACTTTTTTCCATGACCTCCTGCACCTTACAACAAGCTGTTGTGGTCCTACTTCAGATAAAAAATCATTTTCAAGTTTGTGTGCCAAATGTAGCCATCAATCAGGCTGTGTTAAGACCATGCTTTACTACATGAGCTTTAGCAAAGTTCTTTCACACTGGCTAGTATACATGGACACAGGTCATTCAACGCTTTAATGCAGATTGCTACATCATTAAGACTTTACTTCAAAATTTCTAGAAAATAAACACAGCTGGGACCTTTCAAGTATTGAAAGAAAAATATCCAAACACCACATTCTGCATCAACTTCATCTGTCACAAAGAAAATATTTACTATTAGATTGCAAAGCTTTAGAATCAGAGGTTTAGAAAGGAAATTCCAGTTTTTCTCAGGTACAGTAAGACATCTATAACACAGACGGTACCAGTATACCTATCTGAATTTCTGATCTCTGCTGCTTTACCAGAGGAAAGTCTATCAAGCTCTTACATTTAACCATCAGAATATACTAAACACAGTAATGGTAGTTCTGTAACAACAACAACAACAACAACAACAACAAAGGATTTGGGGGTAAAGAATCATCACAAACGAGGCCCCACCATTCAACAAAACTGGAAACAAAGCAAGTGATGTGAAAATCTGCACTACTTACAGTAATGTCCAGGATGCATAGGTGGATGATGCTGAAGATGGCCATTCTGGTGGTGAGGTATGGTAGGTGTGTAGGCTGCTGTCCGACTTCCGGTCCAAGTTGTAGTACTATCTAGAAAAAGAAAGGAGTGGTTGGTTTTTAAGGAAGCTTTTCTGCATCTCATTTCTAATCCTCTATTTCTCCTCAATATTTGGAAACCGGTTTTAGAAAACTAAGAAGAGTGCACATATGTATATACTCACTGTGATGGTAAGTAGCTGGCTGAGCTGTAAACCCATTCTGCTGAGTTCCTGGCTGAGGCCCTGAAGCAATCTGTAAGAGTCCATCACTATGGCTACCTGTCAATATACTGGTAGGTTGACCTGGTAAAAGAACACACTACCTATTCATGAACGTTCCAAAAGTTTAATTAAGAAGAGCTCAGCACTACTGGGTAGGAAAATACACTCAACTAAGGGCACTGCAAGACACAGTTCCTACAAGTTTGGTTCGGTATTTTTTTCCACCCACCGGCGTGTCTTAGGAAACTTGAAGCAAGATGCTCTGCATTAGCTAATTTTGACTGACACCCTTAATACTCTAGCAGTAGAAGTATGCAGACAACTCTGTTCATCAACCGTATCTTTGTTCCGTTCACACCTCATTTTCCAGTTCGAAAGGAAAGAAGAAGAGATGTCACAGTTTTATTGAATAACATCGCTGGAGCAGATCTGGTATGAATCCAAACAGGCCAGCAGTAGGTCCAATCAGTTGCTTATTTTCAGGATGTTGTAACTACTGTTCCTAAGGAGGACACTCACTTAAATTTATGTGCCTCCAAAACATACTGAACAGTATTTTAGTTTTAAAAACAGTGCTTGAACAGAGCTGCACACATCACTGGGCTGTTTCTGAGAAAGCTTCTGGGATTCTTTTTCTCCCAGATAAACATTTCAAGAATTAACTAAGATTTAAAGTAAAACTACAGATATTTTAGAACAGGTTAACAGAATTTGATCTTAGAAGGCTTCAGCTCAGCCATTAATACTAAACTGGTCAGCAGTTTCACAAGTACATTTGCACTCTCTCAAACTGGTGTAGCTAGCAGAATTTAACACATTGAAAACTTGAACTAAAACCTAAAAAAACAAGCTTTTTTTTATTTTCCTGTCCACTGGGCTCCGACAATTACAGCACCGATGAGAAACGGTTACTGACTATAAACTGTTGTGCAAAGGCAATACAATTAAACTGCCCATCCTTTTTTCTCTGCTGGAGACAAATAGACATTGTATCTCAAACTTGGCAAAACCATCTGCAGCTTTAGCAGAAAAGTAGTCAGCAAAGATTAGAAACATTATCAAAACACTATTGAAAAAATAAAATTTGATAACATGAAATCCACACATTTTTTATACTGAAGTGACAAAAAGCACATGAAACCACTCCAAACTCCCTGGTTTCCCTACATTAGAGCTGCAGGACACTGTACGTAACTGCTTTACTGTCCTGCTGGAGTGAAGAGTGAGGTCTGATGTTGGTAAACCAGACTCTTCCACTTGTACCAAATAACACAGAAAATTAACAAAAACTTTGACACAGCTCTCCAACAGACTCATGACAATATCAATTAGGGCTGCCACTCTGGTAGTACAGTGGGCCATTACAAAAATAATCAAGTTAAAACTGGAAGACTTATTCTGTCAGCCGTGGAACAATGAAGAATTGTCTGAAAACCTCTTGATATTGCCACTTAACACTGTATTTGCTTGTTCCATTTGCTGTTGCAATAAAATAATAAAATTCTTCCATTCCTACAGCAGTTATTCCAATAACAGCCATAATGTTCTGTCAACAGGCAACTGTTCTTTTAACGTAGTATCATTGAACCACTGGCGTATCCAAAACAGTCTTGTTACACTCATGCAATGTCAGTCTCACTGAAAAAAGACTGGGTTATCAGGAAAAGTTACTCATGTTATGCTCCAAGTTAAAACCTTATGTTAATACTTAAGAGACTGCCTAGATTGTAATGCCACACACTTTCCCAGCATAGTGTAGCAAAAGTACGGTTCTGATGCAATATCTACTCTGGCAAAAAACATCAGTTATCTTAGAGCTGTCACATTTTCACAGTTTAATATTTCATATAATCTCTAGGATCTTACTTGTTGAAGCCACAGGAATGTTGGGAAAATTAGTGGTGCTGGTAGTGCTAGCCTCAGTAGGAGCTAACATGGCTGGGGTGCTATAAGGCTCATTAGATGCCCTGTTACTTGGTGGATGCTGGATGGTCTGGACTGAATGGCCTTCTGCAGAAGACAGTGATGGCTGCCCCTCATAGTCATGAACGTATTCGTCTTTCACCAGCATGCTTGATGGAGCTGTAAAGAAACAAATAGTTAAACTTGCAAAGCAAATCTATTTTCAGGATTTAACTACAAATCGCACTACTGCTTTCAAGCAACAGCAATGCTATTAAAGCTACTGGGGAGGAGGATTTAACCTATCTAAACATTGCTAAAGCACTCCTCTAAACTGCAAATAAACAAGGCAGCAGCAGGAAATTTTGAAGCATTAACTGGATGGAAGAGCGAACTGTTCATTTTGCTGACTGCTCTCAATCAAGTTTAGTCCCTCAGTAGTAAATTCCAACAGCATTTTGTTTTCCAGTCCATCACTGTGTGATTTGACATGGTTAATAAAAGAGAAAAACATGCTTTTTGTCAGGCACCTAAACATGAGTCAATGCAGTAGCTAACAAACCAATTCCTATTATAAGGATATACATAAAGCTCCTATGATAAACATAATTCATGAAAACAGCACATAAAAAACTTCACACATCCCTTAAGTAATTTTATGCAACTCCCATCCAAATTGACTAGAAACATCAAACTCACATCCAAAGACAATATAACACTACTCTGTATTTAACAATGTAGACACTAATTTAGAATATTCCACATACAGTGTAAGGAAATTACTACCACGGCCACAAGAAGAATTTATTTCCATCTATCCCACTAAGCACGTTCAAGTAAAACTCTTCTACTACATTAGCTCCCATGCTCGTTTTTCAAGCAGCCTTAAATATATTAAAATTTGACAGTAATTTTATGTTTCCTGCTGCAAAAAAGAGTAGCAGGACAAGGGAACACTTACTACGTATTTAACTGACAGCTACTAAGCTCTGATTCTGCACACAAGGATCATTTTTCAGAAGACAAAGGTAACATGCAAATCAGCAGAGATGAGTATGCAACTTAAAGCTTGTGAAGTTTACAGTCTGTTGTGTTGTTTGGAGGCTTTTTAAGTCATTTTTCATAGAATGACAGAATGGTCAGGGCTGGAAAGGACCTTAAGATCATCCAGTTCCAACCCTCCTGCCATGGGCAGGGACACTTCACACTAAACCATGTAGCCCAAGGCTCTGTCCAACCTGGCCTTGAACACTGCCAGGGATGGAGCATTCACAACTTCCTTGGGCAACTCATTCCAGTGCCTCAGCACTCTCACAGGGAAAAACTTCTTCCTTGTATCTAACCTGAACTTCCCCTTTTTAGGTTTGAACCTGTTAAATCTTGTCCTATCACTGCAGTACCTGATGAGTATTTTTCTTGATTACTTCTAATAATGTGCTAAAAACACAGGTTTCCTTCTCTACCAATTTATTCTGGGAGGAGAAAAAAAAAAAAATTGGTTTTGGAATAAAGCAGCTGTACAACCTCAGATTTCTGAATAATATTCTTTTGACATTTAACATCAAATTTCCCTCAAGTTTCAGGGAGACCAAAAATATCAGACTGCTTCGTTCAACTGCATATTAATTACAAAATTTCCACTATTTTCTTGTTAAACTGCTTACTAGATCATAAGCATCTGTTATTCCGAATTCAATTACTTAGCCTATTATACACATGTGCACACATTCTTGTGTGTTCAATGCTGCTAGTTAAAAAAAAATGCGGTTTTTGATTTTTTTTATTTTTTCCTCAGTGTTTTTAGGTTGAGGCAATGAAAACAGAGCACAACAACAAGTTGCACTGAAACCTCAATTTAAAGAATTTGTCAATACTTTCCTCTCATATGCTACTTTGTTGATTTTCCAAAACCAAAGAGACAAATGCATTTCCATCTGCTCTCTATACTCCCTCCCAGGAAGATGCACAGGAATAAACTGTGTATATGCTGAAGAGTTTAACACAGTTTGTGCCCACAGAAATGCAACAGTAAGCAGAACTACTTACCAGAACTCTGTAGTGTCAGTCCTGAGAGATCTTTATCAAGAAAAAGAAAAGAGGGTGTGGAGGATTATACAGAGATCTTCAAGAGTGTTTGAACATTATCAGCTTTTACAAACCAGTCCTACAGACTCTACATATTCTACCCCCTCTATCACAACACAAGTCTCAATGGTAAGCTATTCACAGGATACACATTAACTTTAAGAACTGTGTGCAAAGCCAATAGAAAAGCTGACACAAAAGCCAGAAACTGCTTTTTCAAACAGAAACTGGTTTTTTTTTCTGAATAAAGGTAAAAGGAAAATTCCATTAAGAAGATGGGCAAGAACATGAGCATAATTTATCATTAGATCGTTAAAAGTTAATGTTTCTAACTTAGGCCTGTATTTTCTACACTCAAAAGGAAAACATTTTACATTTTAGGTCAAGAGGTTACTTACCAATGCCAGGCGATACTACACGCTCATAATGGTAAGGATTTACACAGACACTGTCACATTTTAAGTCAAAAGCATACTGACAATATTTAACATGCTTGAGTTCATTTTTATGAAGATCAGGCCACCTCCAAAGACGAGCATAAATCACATGAGGGAATCCCTTGCGACCAGCCACCTAAAAAGTTAGACACAAAAGCTGATTTGGAAAGTTGCAACACATCTCACTTTACTTAGTAAGGAACAAACCTGGAAGAGGATGAACATCACCACAACCTCTCTCCATCACCAAAATAAGAAAGAAAAAAAGGTATTGCACAGTTTACCCAAGTTCTTCAAGAGAAATAAACTTCTGTTAGGGTTTTGCTATGGTTAAGTCAACACTGTGATTCTTAAAGAAAAAATACTCAATACAAAACGGCAGAAGCAGAATCTGTGCTTAGTGTAGTACATACGGTCACCTTCCCCACCGTGGATGGTTAACAGAGTTTTGCCCCACAAGAGGAGGAACAAGGCACTAGGCTACACTATAAAGGATTTACAAGTAGAAGAATGCCAATCCATTATACTGAAAAAAAAAAATAATGCCTTAGGGTAGACAGAGAGCTAGCCAGCAAACATGACATCTGTTCCAGAACAAGCAAATCACAACCCAAACTATACAGGTACTGAGCAATGGCGATATAAGGCTAACAAAAATCCTCAGTGCAGACTCCTTGGAGTACCTTAGCACGGGATCATAGGTCTGTCTTCCAACTGCTGACCAACACAGAGCTAACAGAAGCTTCTAGTGAAAATACCAGGATAAGCAGCCGCATTTATTATGTGACCCTGCTTTTTACTGCCACACACACTCGTTTAGAACAGCTGATCCAACACCCTCTGCTTTTGAAAAAAGAAAAAATTAATCAACTACTGATGCAGTCCAGAGCTCCAGTCACAAAACATGACTACAAAGCGGGGATGCCGGAGGACAGCTACTATTCCTCAACATTCTAGGATCCTGAGTCGCTCACTCTTGTTCCAGCTTCACTAGGAGGAAAGCATCTGATTTTCACTGGTACTAACCTGAAGCCTCCCATCCAGCGTTCTCTGTATTGTAACACACTTGCTAGGATGAGCTCCATTTGTGGTTATAGCTGTAATCAAAGAATCCAATTCATCTTTTTTCTCCTTTAGCTTTTTAACTAAACTTTCAATTGCGCGTTTTGCAAAAGTTTCACTCTCTCCACCTTGTCGATGGCACATCAAGCTGTGAACAATGCTCAGACAAGCATCATTACTTGTTGGTGTGTTAGTAATAGACATATTGTCCATTTGTCACAGCTTTTTCTTTCAGATCAGATGTCAGTTTTGGGGGCTGTTCTGATTTTGAAGCTGATGATCCAAGTTAAGTGTTAGATGTACTGTCTCTTGGTAAAACCTAGGAGGAAAAAATATCTACATTAGGATTGTTTTTAACAAACTGCAGATCATGTTTCTAAGGAAGTCTGTGGCTTTTTGCTTCTTTTATTTTCAAGCTAAGTGCAGGATATTAAAAGCACATGAAAAAAAAACAAAAAAACTGCACTGCTTGTCCCGTAACAGCTAAAACATGCTTAAGACACTGCTTGCACAGTTTAATATATAAGATTATTTTTTCCCCTAGTAACATAAAGGTTATAGTATATATACATGTACATATAGTATGTACATATAGAAAGGTAAGGATTATTAGATGAACAGGCTCTGAATCAAGAAAAGGAGAAGAGTGACAATGATTTCCTATGTTTTATAATGGTAGGATAAGACCAAGTGAAAATGCTGACTGTAAGTCAAGGAGCATAGGTTTAAACAAAATTTGAACAGTGAAGAAGCATGAATGTACACCAAAAATCCATCTGTCATCTTCATTTAATAATCCTCTTCAAATAGTTCAGCTACATTCTGACCTCAGACTGAGATTTGTCTTTGCTAATCACAAAGAAAAAAAAAAACAACTCTATCTGGCCATTAGCTCAATACACATTTATGTCAACTAGTATTGTGTGTATCTTTATGTAAGAAAAACCCAGCTGGCACATTTGTCTTTACTTGTTTGCATCCAGCTTCTTCTGGATCAAGACAAACCAACTGAGGTCACTTAAAAAGCACTTCCAAATGTCTCAAACTGAACTGCCTTAACTGCACCAAACAGAAGATGAGAACCAAGTACCTCCTCACACATTTGGCCTTTAAACTCCATTTGTTAAGAACCTGCAGTGGTTTCTGGTCATTAAGTCATTCTTCTCAAAGACAGAAGACCTCATACTTTTGAAGTGTCCTTTAATTCACAAATTAGAAGAAGAGCTGGCCTGATTTTCTCAATTCTGAACGAGCTAATTACTATGCTTTATTCAGAAATATGAGACAGCAGGGTTTGGGCACTCACAGAAAAGGAGTCTAATGTTGTCAAAAAGCTGCTCTGGGTCTTTTTGCAGCTTTGACTTGCCATAGTCATCCAGTAACATCATTCTACCAACTATGCAGTCTGCCTTTAAGACACTGGCAGCAAATACACCAAAATGATTTTACTATATTTACATTTCTTGAGTAAGCTTAAAATATAAGCCTTGCTGAAAATAACATGTTCTCTTCAGTGTAAATAAAATCTTACTTCAACAGTTAAAGAAAAATGCTCATGCACATTATCTGAGGAATATATCCAGACAAAGTCCTGTTACTGCACTGGAATTTTCCATGTTAATAGAGGTATAGTAGTAACAGCTATTTATTGGAAACAAATGTGTTGCACAAAAATAAGAGTGGGATGTTAATTTAGGAAGTTAATACATCACACAAATGACAGTGTGAATGCATGGCTTCCCTTCTTGCATGAGGAATAATGTAACGTAAGTCAAGAATAATTATAAAAGGAAACAAAAGTCTTCCCTATTTTTCTCCAATTCCAACTCAAATACAGCATGCTTTGGTACATTTGGAAATAAAAAAATACACATTGTAAATCCTCCAAGCCCCCCCAAACTCCACCCCCCCTTCCATTTTCAGTAGTTTTCTTCTTTTATAAGGACACTTCTGAACCTAATTTATCCCAAAGGAAAACAGTTACCTAAAAGTCTGAGTAAGACCATTTACCTAGCTATTAAAGTTTCTCCCTCACTGCTAGGTTTTTCTGTGCTTCAACTCAATAAGTCTCTTTTAAAAGTCAAGCTTAACCTGCCAGTCATTCTCCATGGCAACTCACACTCACATAAATCTGTAAAAGCTTGCCAGCTAAAACAGAATAGAACATCATTTTCCTTAAATATAAAACAGCATCCCAGATAGATATGCATAAGTAATCACAAATAAGTGACTTGATAAAGCTATTAGCCAGAAGAGCTTTAAATAAAGAGATGCTTTAAAATTAGATACGCAGCTCTATCTCCTACACCCCTAAAACCATGAATGAGAATTTTACTTGCTGACTTTCAGAAGACTAAAAAGCAGGCAAATAAATCCTTATTTAAGTGGAATGATCTTCAGAAATGTTGAGTCACCCCTCAGCTGCCACTGAGCTCAATAGGAGCTTCTGACTGTTCAGCACTTTTGAAAGCCAGGCCACTTGTTTAGGAGTTTAAATACTGTTACACGCTGCTGGTGCATTAACTACGCATGGTAATTCGGGAGCCTCCCTTTAGAACTGCCCCCTACAGAAATCCTGGATTTGATCTTGAAATTTTGATCCCCAGAAGGAGGGGTGAGGCCAGTAGCTATCGATGTAGCACGTACTGATAAATGCTGCAGCATATTTCCTCTGAAGCACCAGAAGCATTAAGTGTATTTTGCAGGCAAGCCAAGTTCTTATGTTCCACAAATCTAGTTTCTCACAAAATAGCTCTACAAGCCTATCTTTGACTGAGTCACACATTCAAGGGGTGCCTTAACACCTTCTTACTATATTACTTTTATGTGTGCAAATAAAAGCAAAATGCAATCTTAATGCATTATATTTTTAGAAGAGAGCCTTTGAAGATAAGGTTCCAGCGTGCCCTCAGACACGGAGTGTTAGATGTTCTGCAAAACAGCAGCATGCTTGTGAGATTTAACGTTTACTTGGTGCAACCATGAAACTTCAAATTCATTCCCCAGCAGGCCCCCTGCCCAAGTAGGCAACCCCACACTACAGCTCAAGCTTAGATTTAGAGTGGTGTAAGTAGGGGCAAATATACTGAGCAAAGACCTTCTTAGCTCCCCCTCTACCCAGGATTTCACGAAACAGAAATGGACGAAAGGGTGTTTTGGGGGGAAAGGGGCACAGAGAAGAGACAGGGAACACAAGAAAAGCCGCTGCAGGAGACAGAGCTTCTAGTGAAGCTCCCTGCTCCACCTATCAAGGAACAAAAAGGTGTTTCTCTCCCCCTTGCTACAGTGGGATGCAAGTAGAACGCGGAAGAAAAAAAAAGAATGGGACGAGCTAATATAAAATGCTAATGAGTTACAAAGTTACAGAAAAGTGCCTCATCTTATAGAAAGTAATGTATTTCAATAACTATTAATAGTATCTTATGAAAGATGCCAACAACTAGTGTTCTGTGATAGCTGAAGTATCAGAGCAAGATTAAGAGGATTACTGGAACAAGATTAAGATCCTCTGAAGAGGAGTTAAACCTGAAAGACAAAAGACGTTAAGATTGCCAGGTAATTTAAAACACACCGCAGTGGTAAGTAAACATTTAACTGCAGCTCTTCCTTCAAGAGTGATGAAGACTGGAACAAATACCGTAACTCTTCTGTACGTCCCACTTCCCCACGGCTGCCTTGCTGAAGGGTGATGTATCTTTTAGCCTGTGCAATGAAATTCAAAACATGAAGCAGCTGTCTAACATTAAAAATGCACCACTGGTGCCACATGCCTCATTTTCATGTCTGTGGATAATTCTGCCACAAATGATTACCTGACCAATATAAATAGAGTCTAAAAACACAGACATCTATGATAGTATGCTACCTCATGTAACAGAAAATCAAACGTATTATTGACTTACCTACGTGGAAGTAACATTACTGAGCTCTTACGCTAGCGCCCTCGTTGCACTTACATTTATCTTATGGGCAGGAAATCAAAATAAAGACCGTACTGACTCAAACCATTCCACCGTTCAAGGATCAACTGCTACATTCTCTCTCAAAACAGCGATTATTCTACTACTGTGACTACAAAACAGAGACCAAGTTTAATGTTCACCATCTTCTGCAAAAGCTAGCCTGGAGCTCCATGAGAGCACTCCCACCTGTGGAAACAAGGTGCTCCTGATCAACTGGAAGAAACCTGAGCAAAGTACAAAAAGAAGATGAGATCTCACCTGAAGGGAGAAAATTAATAGTTTATTTTGCTAGTATCCCTAGAGCTGCAAGACAGTATAATAAACTAGCACGCCTTAAGAACAAGTGCTTTTACATGCCAGAAATCAAGGATAACAAAAACAGTGTGAGCCATGACTTCCAAATATTTTCAGCAACTCCTCAGGCAGCATACTAGGTACTTAAGAGATAGGATCATTTGGACAGCCTCACACGAGCCCCAAGAGTTGCTGAGACATATTTCAGTTTGAAATTCATCAAAAAAGCATGCAGACGCATACAGACCCAGGCAGACACACACATACACATGGTCTGGAGGAGTACAAGGGGGTTTAGAATGAGAGAAAAAGTCTTTCTGTTTTCCATGGTTATGAAGATAAAAACACATGGCCTTGGTTTCCTTGCTTCTATAGAGGAATTACTGCAGTTGTACAGACTCTCACCTGAGAATAAGGGCAGAGGCAGCAAAAAAATACTGAGACTTCACCTAAACCCCCTTTAATGTCCTAGCCATTCAGCCAAGCAAATTTTGAAACTTACCTGAAAAATCCCTCTTCCAAACAATTGCCCTTTCCAATACACTAATGAGGCTGAAATTTGCTGAGAAGTTACAGATACAGATTTAGCAAAAAGAACTGACATTCCCTTCTAAATACCAACAAGAACCCCAAATGAATACTTTCCACACTTGCAATTCACTTATCTTCCCTCTCTCCTCCCACAAAAGCCACACGTTGCAATGTGGGGAGAATGATCAACCCCAAACAAGTAAAGGAAATAATACGCTTACACAGGCAAACCAGTGGGTTATGGATGGAGCTGGAAGCCAGGGATGTCATCCAAAGCAAGACGATCCAGGCAATGAGCACTCCAGCAGCTTGGGCCAGACCTTTTTATCCCTGCCCAACGCTGATATGATACGTGACGCTGCTCATTTACAGTGGGGTTTAAGCCAATCACAGCCACAGAAGGATCAAATTCACCAAGAAACTCAGTCTAAATATGTGACGGCCCAAATGCCACTGGATAATTACTTTAAGATATGAGCCAAAGGCCAAACCCCCTCCACAGCGTACATCTTGTTTGTAAGTTTCGACAAAA